CACCTCTCTTGGGCGGACAAAAAATGACTGACGGTTAGTGTCCGCCCAAGGGAGGTTTCACTGTACATGTCTAAGACTCCAAAAATATTACGCCGGCTCCGAACGGCGATTGCATTTTTATGAGAAGCTATTTTTCATGGCAAAAATACACAACTCAAAACCACTAGAAAACAAAAACGGTTTCAGCTCTGCAGATGCCTTTAAATTATAGGCGAAATATCGGCAATAATAAACAAAAGGAGTATAAAACATCTCATGGTTTTATTTACCCTTGGCCTAGAGTTCAACAAAAACAAGTAAAGGAAACCTAACCAACAAAATACAGTCAAGAACGTTCCCATTTATAGAACAATTTCTCATTTTCTGTGCAAGAAAGGTTCGTGTCTTAAGTCTTTCGTTGACCTAATTTGCATAAATGTCTTTCAGTTCTTTTTTTTAATAGTTTTAATACGCAAATATTTCTAACTGATTTACGCTATGTAAATAATAAAGTTCTAAACATTTCCGAAGGTTTTGTTATCATTTCGATTTATTTTTTTAAGCGTTCTTGGGAAAAAAACCACGAGAACGACATTTGATTTCGATCATACCTTTTGTTCTCGGTCCCACCCAGCAAAAAATCGGTAATCGCTTTTTGTGGTAACGTGTTCTAGATGGCATAGCGTTATAATGCCTTCGAATTTTTTCGCTTCTTTTAGGCATTGCCAGTAATGCAAAGTAGAATGTCCTATAACATTTATTTTTTAATTCGTTTCTTTGCTTAATTTCCAGGAATGCAAAGTAGAATGTCCTACAATATTTTATTTGTTTCGCTTCTTTGCTTCATTTCAGGGAATGCAAAGTAGAAAGTCCTACAATATTTTTTTTATTTCGCTTCTTTGCTTCATTTCGGAGAATGCAAAGTAGAATGCTGCATCGTAGTCAGCTGAAAAATGGAATGAATATCCAAAAATTCTTTTTCTACCGTTAATTTCTGTGGAAATTTGTCTCGCATAAAAATCATGTTTTGCTTTGTTCTATTTGCAGCGAAGTTGAAGTCAGTCAATGAAGTGAAGTACAAGAGTGAGGATGTACAATTTTAATCTTAATTAAATATGCATGTATGTACATACCGATTTTAAAGAAAATCTAAATACCTAAATACATACATATGTAGGCTGATTTAGAAAAAATTTTTATTAATTTTAACCTTTTAAGACATTTTCTGATTTCAATTTAATATAAATAAGTATGTACTTATCTAGGCATTCTACATTAGTTTCTCTGTAAGGCATTCTTTGCTCGCTTCTCTGGATTCTGTTTATCCATGCGTTCTCCCTTCGTTTGAAGGTAATGCTGCGCGTAAGGGCTTACCTCCAATGACATGCCCATGTTAAAATAAGGCCTTCTTGAAGCGAAAGGGTAAGCGATTCCCATCGCCTAGCTCGTTTCCACTTTCTTTTCTGTGGTAATCGTGTTTTTTGCTGGGCAGGTGCCATCCAACTACAAATGACACTGATGATGGCAAAACGTCGAAACCGGTTTGTCTCAAAGCCAAACTTGGCAAAGAATGATGGAAATTATTACCAAAATAAATCGTATTCCCAAACCTGTCGGAAAAATTAACCAAAACTAACAAAAAACCCCTTACTACTGAAAAGTTACACATGTCTATAATCCTTGTGTAATTCTTACCAAATCTTTATGAGTGCTTTTATTTTGAAATTTGCGATCAAAGCGAAAGTTAAATTTTTTTTTAATATGGTACTATTTTAGGAAATAACCAAGTAAACTATATAGGTATTTATGTGGACTAATGTATGAAAATCTCCACGAATATAAGACGCAAAAGTTTAAGCACGAAATTTAGCGAAAGCATAATTTCTTTGTTGACGTACCCACGACAGTAGACCCGACTTTCTACAAACGGAACGATCCAGATTTACATCTGTCCCGAAAATAACTGTACAATTTGTATGCTGTTATAATAAAATCTTCTTTGTATATATACTTGGCTGCTATATCAGTGAAGATTTGAAATCACGCCTTTATAAAAAAAAATTTGATTTACCTTAAACTGAGTTTACTGCGTGCATATATATCGTCGCTTAAAGTACAAAATCGTGTATCAAGAAAATGTAAAACCTCGTATGAGAGCTCGCCAAAATTTTATAGAAGAGAGTAAAACTTGTCTTATTTCAATACGGTTCTCTCTTTTTAGCTTTTTTGGCACAAATGTTAGTTACGAGGTTTTGTAGAAGCACGATACGCAGTTTTGTACTTTAAACGACGATATGAATGCCGACGTGAGCACCAGACTAGCCTTTCTATAAAAAAATTAAACTAGCCTATCTATAAATAAAAGACACCGATTTGGTGAATTCTAAATAAATAAAATAAGTATTTGGCACTTACACTTTCGCTAAGTGTTTGCTATTTTTAGATGTTGCTCAGACCAGGGATCGAACCGAAATCCTACAGACCATCCTACCAAACCATTCTCAAAAAAAGAACACTTATTTGGCATGCAAAATAATCTGAGTTGCCCACTTGAAAAAGGCTTACGTTATCAATTTACAAACAATGCAAACTTTATTCAACTTTTAATCAAAACATAGAAAAAATGTGGGATAAAAATGTTGTACATCCACTTGAGAAACTAGAGTTTCTCAAAGATTGGAAAAATGCTTACTTTTGTGCATATTGGGTTTGATTATTTACTAATCAGTTGCCGAAATCTAGAAAATCGTATTGCCAAAACATATAGCTCGTATAATACAGATAGTTCAGATATCTTCGCCTAAGTAGCTAAAAACATAAAATTTAGCAGCCTTTTCACTTGTCAATAATAAAAAGTATAAATACAGCAGAAATCATCTAGATCGGGTTACTATAACTTCTAGCTCCCATACAACTGCATGATATGATATGGTTTTGCTTTAATGAAGCATCATTTAGCAAACATCATTGGCGGCGCCAGGCACAGTATTTACTTGGGGATACAGTATAAAAAGATTCGATCGAAAGAAGAAGTTATGAATAACCATGGGCATTGTTACATGACGCTATAGTATGAAGGTTCCCTTGCACAAACAAGGAATATGGTCAAATGATCTCTGTTACTTCCTTTACACCTTTTAGGAGTCGCAAACTAAAATTCACGAAATATGGAGTAAATTTCTTCGAATTTTTTATAGGTATATCGAGCCATCTGGCTGAGCACAATATTGTAAAAGGTTTTGGTAAAAGGCAAATTATTGAATTACCACCAGCGATTAATACCATCGAAACCACGTTTGGAAGCAAGAAAAACACAATCTCGAGATTAGGGTTTAAGAAAAATGTATTACTGTTCGATATAGCCGTCTTTAGCGCGGATGATAGCATCGACTCTGTACGGGAATGCTTCACATGTTGCACGAATGTCGTCTGGTGGAATTTTATATTGAACAAGACGTAATGGTAAATCAACGAGTCTAACCGTGAAAAGAATTGAAACAATGCTTTGTTACCTTGGGCACGAAAATAATTCGGTAGAAATCAATTGTGCATTCTGTGACAAGCTGCTATTATCAGCGCTAAAGATTGCTACATCGAACAGTAATACATTTTTTTAAACCTTGACTAGTTCTTACTAATGTTTTCCAATAAAAAAAAGCAAAATAGACAAAATTATAGCATTTTTAACTGGTAACACTTCGAGTGACTACCCCTGTATTTTGTTTTCTAGTTTATGGTTTGCAGGAAATCATCATATTTCTAAAGGTATTATTTTAAGTTAGCTATGCTTGTATTTTAATAAAAAATATCGCGTTAATTTTTGAAAGGAAGTACCAGAGAGCACTCTTATGGAGAATCGGAAAAAATAGATTCCCAAAAAATGGCATAATGTAGTAGGGTCAAATTTAATTTGCCCTCAATAGAGGCTATTCTGCACTCACTGTGCATCCACTGATGGAGTTACAACCTAGACTCTTGATACCATGGAATTATTCGGTAATAAAGCATCTTGGAATTATTCGGTAATAAAGCATCTTGAATTATTCGGTAATAGAGCATCTAGCGAATTATGTGACCTTTTTAGTAGCCAAAAACCAAACAAAAAATTGTGATTCGAAAGTTGAATACCAAAAATAAAATGAAAAATCAAAACAAAAATAATCTTTAACCTGTTAATATGGCGTTTATTTGTTCAGATTTTTACTGCTAATGAAGTTTATTTCGCATCCTTCGCTTCAATAGCAATTGACGGGCAAGTGAGAACATATTTTTTATACGGCAAGGGAATTGAAAGGCGCTGAGAAAGTAAATTATCCTAAAAATCCTGCGGTATGTGCTAATACAATTTTTTTTTTTTCAATAACAAACCAAAAACTTTCCAAGTTTCCACAAGTACCACTGAAGTTTGACACTCAATACTTCTTACTCAAATTCACAATATGTATACGGGGTCCTGCCCCATACACATGCTTACATAACTAATTGGAACTACGCTCCGCCTCTTCGCTAGAAAATTGTCGCACTAAATACTCAACGATCTAATCTTGTAAAGCAACTAGTGCGTGTGTTATTTGAATATATATATATATATATATATATATATAATATATATATAGCCTCGGGATTTGGCACAGGCATTGTTGCGTTTAATGATAGAGCAATCGAAGAAAGTGAAATAAGGAGACGGGAAAAAGCGCTTACAATTTATGTGAATTTTCGTTTTCTTGAAGATCTTTGCTACTTGGGCCATTGGTGAAACGCAGTTCATTGTCGGATTTAGGTTCGCCTTCGTCACTTTCATCGTCATCGTGCGCATCCACCGCGCTGCCGCCTAACGGTTTCGTCCACATGCCTTCATCATCCTCATAGTCATCCTCTGAATCCTGCATAACCGATTGCAGTGTACGCACCAGCGAAGTGGCCAACGCCTTCTCATTCGAGTCATCTAAATCGTCTGCTGCATCTGTACCATCAGCGAATTCGCCAATTTCTTGCGTTTCCAGCGTTACACTTTTCTCAACATTTGCATTATCATCGTAGCCTGTTTCGGATTTGTCGTCATCGCTTGTTATAGTTGAAGCCGCAATCCGACCAATCGCACTCAGCGTTGTGCCGTTGTCTGTCGCATTTGGCTGCAATTGATTGCCGTCACTGCTTCCCCCATTATTGCTAGCATCATCATCGTTGTTACTATTCTCTTTAGGCGGCGATGTTGTGCCAGGTGTTGTGCTAATGGTTGCTGCACTAACTAAACTCTCACCCAAATCATTGGTGAATGAACTGAAATGCGAATCGAAATCAGCAAAATTATCCGTATTGAAATCAGCTGCCCAAGGTGTTGAATTGCTATTTGCAGTTAGATCACTGAAAGGATCCATGTGGTCCCATGGATTATTAGTTACGCCGAATGCTTGTAGTGCGGATGTTGAAACGGCATTCTTGCCGAAAAGCGAAGAACTGCTGCCACCGCCGCCGACAACACCGCTGCCATCTCCGCCAGCGTTGTTTTCATCGTCGTCGTCATCATCGTCGTCGATATTGCGACCAAACTGAAACAAATTAAGGTCGTTTTCGGCGTTATCATCGTTTTCGAGCAGATTATTGCGATAGATGTCATGTTCAAGCGCAAAAACTATGTCCTGTCGTATTGATTGATTTAGTGATGTGGTGGTTGGCACACGTTTTCGAATTGCGTTCAGGACACGACAAATATAGAGACAAAGATAGCAGATAGTGATGAAAGTGAAATGGTTACATAGAGCTACATACATACATAGAACTACTTTGACTATAAAATGGATAAACTACTTTTTCTCTCTCGCACTTTTTCGCAATAAGATCGAAATTGAAGTTAATAGCAGTTCAAAAAACGCTGTTAGCTAACGACCGATCGGAGACTTGAGAATAAGTGGTTTAAAATATCAAGAGGTTTTATGTTTAAAAATGTTTAAGCGTATTTATTGACTATCAAAAAAGCAGGCTATGTAAAGTGTTCTGAGTGATATTACAAAATGAAATGAAAATAAAGTGTTAATGTGAGTTAACTGTGCCTATGCATAATTACAAAACTCTCTTCACTAAAATACTAATTCACAAATGCTGGATGCACTGCATATTCTGAGTCGCAAAGCAATCATATTTTTGAACAGAAAATATACACACATATTTCGAATAAACTGAATAACTTAAATTGCATGCAATTATTAGGAAAACAAATAAAAAATTGCCCAGCCAAATAAATATTAAATAACAAAACAAACTTCATGATTAGTTAGAATCATTTAGTTTTATAGAAATTACTAATTTGCGACTCGACTATGCAATGCAATTACAAATTTTTATTTTAAAAAAAGCAACGACTTGTTTGTCTATTGCCTTCATCGGACGAATACTACAAAAATATTTCATCTAGGCACACGAATTGTGTTTATAACACTTGCACCAATTAGATATAACTTACGTTTGAGCCGGAGTCGCTGAAGCCAAGATTATTGCTGCAATAAAAAGTTCTCAATAATCAATCATAAATAGAAATAAATGAAAAATCATTTTTATATAGAACTTACATCATATTCGTTGACATCACATTCGATGACATTACATAGTCCCAAGTAGAATTATCACCCAGAAAATCTTTTGGTAAATGTTGACTATAGTCACCCGCTTCGTGGGCGTTACAATTCGCTAACATTTTGCTTTGTGTGGCTAAGGCCTTTGTAAGATCACCATCGGTTGGGTTTATTATTGATTGCCACAATTTTAGCTCAAACTCATCACGTAAATTACTCTCAATTAAGGCACCGATATGTTCAGATTCTGATATACTATTCGCAATATGTTTGAATATTTTTATTAAATGTCCCATATAACCGAGACGACGACCTTTTTCAGCTGATCTATTAGTTAAAAAAAATATAAAATAAATAAGTTAAATGCAGTTAGTAAAATCGTTGACCCGTACAAAATATATATTTAACACTTACTCTGTGTCGGAGTTGTGCTTCCAGCAGTCAATTAATTTAGAAATCAGCTTGCACTTTTCAATCACCTAAAAGAAATTAAATTAAATATTAGCTTAACCCTTATTTCTTTTAAAATAAATATTTATAACGTACGTGCATCTGTAATGCGGACGGACCACTGTCGGTATGAACTTGAGTTTTGTTCTGCTCGCTTTCTTCTGCATCTGATTTGTGTTCATCAGCAGCATCAGGCGCCAGTGACTTGTCTTCGTTGTTTTCTGCTACCTTTTCTATAGTACCATCATCAGTTTCCATGGCGTTAAGATTTGCTACAAGTTTATTTTCTAATTTGGCTTCCTCGTTTGTAGTAGCTACTTTGTCGTCTACAATTTTTTCATCCGTTTTCATTTCAATATCTTCCTTTTCCCCTGCTTTTTCATCTACTTTTTCAACATTGCTACTTTCATCGTTAGCCTCATCGTCTTTTTTGTTATCAGACTTGAAAACGAAATCGAAAAACGAAGTATGTTCAATACTGTTTCCCGTTTTGCCGAAAGATCCATCATTTACGATCGTACTACCTTGCAGTGAGTTATTGTTATTTGATAGTTGCGTATAAAATACTAAATGAAGACACTTTTCAACTTCGCTATGCAAAAAATTATTCCAACAATATTGCTTGAAGAGGATGAGTAAAGTTTCAAAGAAATCCGTTTCACAGACGCTAGTTAAAAAATTATATAATTTTTGGACTACCAATTGATTAAATATTTGTTTGCTTACGCTTTCAAAATCTCTTCGTTTTTAGTCTGCAGTAATACTGTAAAAATACGGCAGATTTGCAAACGTGTCATCCCAAAAGGCTGTGATAACTTAGCTGCGGTAGTCACTATTTCTGGTTTCTGAAAATTAAATAGTACAATAACAAACAATATATGCGTAATACAAAGAAATTTATATAAACTTTATAAATGAAGCTGATCATTCTTAATTATTTAGAAAGAAGAAATTAAAAAAAAGACGTTAACCACAGAAGAACCATCACCTATTGTACCTCGATAAGACATGCTATTAAAAGAATTCCATACACGTTATAAATTTTTCTATTTATTTTGTTTAGCCTAAACAACTATGTAAGGCACATATTTTCTTAATGTCCTCAATTATAACAGTGCAAATCTATACTTACATTTGGCGGGTTTCTGAGTAGCTCATTGAAATCGTTAAGACGCGGTGCAATGACACGAATCACAGTGGAGAGTATTTGTTCACGAATCTCTTTTTCCCGATTTTGTATGAATTTCATACGATCTGAACTAGGTTCTTCACTAAAAGAAAAAGATAGCATTGAATTTAAATAAAACGAGTTATGAATAAACTGATATAGGTACATATGGATGTACATATATCAAACACTTACGTAAACACCACAGGTTTTAAAAGCATAAGTACAACCGATATTCCTGATACGACAGCGCTCTGTTGCGCATTTGGTTCCAAAATCACATTCAACAAGGCTTCAATATTCTGCTCACTTTCGATGCATTTCAAAATTGGATTTGAACCATCGAATGTGGGCTCAAAAGAGTCGTTCTCCTGCTCCATATGACGCATGGAACGACCTTGTAGTATTAAATCACAGAGGAATTCCGAAACATTTGCATGCTTGTCGGTTTCTTGAGGATTACCAATTATTGCAATCAGTCTCTCTACAAGTTTATCATCAGTTAGCCACTGAAATGGAAGGTAAAAAATGAAAAATTATCACATTTAGGGTATTAGTAGATAATGGCACTTACTTGGTATAAATTCCGTTTCATTTGACCACCTTCTACTTCTCTCATCATTTGCATTATCAAATCGGGTATGACGGGTGTGAAAAAATGCTTACAAATCAAATCCAAAAAATTATTTTGCGACTTAATGTATTCCAAGAGTTTTAGGCACATTTGTTGATACAAAAACCAATCTTGTTCAGCCTTTTTTGTGAAGAGCATACTAAATGTTTTGCTAAAAAATGACGATAGCAAAGGATTTAACGGTGGTTCATTTTCCAGATATGAATAAAGTGTTTTTAATATATCTTCATCTGACAAAAGTTTCTCATCTAGGGACGGTAAGCCACTGAAATGGAGGAGGTTAGAAATCAGATTTGTACGGAAGTGTTATCACATAGTATATGTTGGTCGGTACTTACAACGTTAAGATTTCGCAAGCCATATTCGCATGCCGATATCTTTGTGCTAAAGGTAGATCCTCAGAAGGTTCTGTAGTTATGAGTTCAACAAGGCGTTTGATCACGTCTGGACGAGTTAAGCTGCAAAAGCCGAAATAATTAATGTTAGAAGGTTAGATTATCACGTCGAGTATTACACTATCTTCTCTATATGACAAAAGAGTTTGAACTTACTAATTAACAATAGATTTCTTTTGTGATCTACACTCCAGTAATATATCGTCATCGTCCAGAAATTCCTCCACTGTGACATTCTGCAACGACGGAAATTATAGCAAAATAATGGAATTAGTACGACAGCAATCTTTTAAATAATATATGTATGTAGGTATGCGCAAGTGGGTATATTTATTAGCGGATATATCGCCGAAGTGGTAAATCTAACGTGGGCACATGTAGTGATTGAGCACAATCGCATGTGCACTAGCATGGAAACATAATACCTTCATGCATTCCAACTCCCTCCAAAGCCAACCCAATCGCACAATATACACATTATTATATGTGTATAAATTGGGCTTTGGAGTAGTATACATACTTACAAACATTCATTCGGACGCACATACTATGCCACTCACCTCTTTCTCCAGCAGCGCCTCTATGTTCTGCGACGGTGTGTAGCTTTTGTCCCAAAACATTTTCTATTCACCTTTTTATCCACGTACTTTTAATTTTCTACCTTTGTTTGGTTGTTGATACTATGAAATCTTTTTTTTTTTTTGGTATAAAATAATTCTGGAGACTTTCTTTTTCTTTAATGGTTAATAATAATTAATACGCGTCTGACACAGCACTAAAAGTAGAGATCAATTTTATATATCAAATTCAAAACATAAATACTATGTATATGCAAATGGAGGCGTTTTACTTCCAAAACTTTTGCAAGCTGTCGATTGAGTTTCAACATCCTACTTTAGCATTTTTTACATAAATTTACACTAATATGTTTGTTTTATCACCCGAGTATTTATTAATGGGTTCCCATTTTTACAATTCACTCTGCATTTACAGTTTTTATTCCTTAACTTGCGATTTTCTTTAATAGAAGTTATCAACGTTTTTTATTGCGATTTATTGCTGCTGAAAAATTTTACCTTTTCTTTCATTTGACAGCAAAAAGTGTGACAACAGTGCACTCTTTCGATCAAATTGAAGAGATTTTCAATTGTCAGATTAGCTATAAAATTCGGCTAAAAATAGTGACGTCTGAAGTACTTGTTGCTCATATTTGTGGTTGGTGGCAACCGGGTTTCTTACATCAAGTGATTTAAAAAAAACAGAAAACAATAAAAATCACAATTTATGGAGAAATCTTTATATGAAAACTAAAGCGTAAAACTAAATGCACTTTTGAAATTAACACTCTCAACTCTTGCCACGGCTTCTTTGATTTGATGCAGAATAACATTCGGTTAACCGTTTTTACGCACTAACGAAATTCACATCGCTAAATTTTACAATCATTATGCCAACTCAAACCAACAAATTAACATCAAATACATATTTTAAACTAGGAAATGCAAACTTATCGAGCTATGGCCAACACATTATTTTGTTAATCATCTTTCATTTATTGGCACTAAAAAAACTCCAAGTCACTGCCCAACACATTTCTCCGTTCTAGGCGGGTCGTGTGAGGTCACGTATCCTTGCCCGCTGGCGTATTTAATCACCAGTTCAGCTAGCCACTCACCCACAGTTCAGACAAGGATGTTAATTAGGACCTTCGTATGTGTGTCCACAGTAATTTTAGCGTATTTAATAATTTATTTCGGCTTCATTAGGAAATTTGCAACTATAACGTCGCCACGGTTTGCAGTTTTTCGCGTTTGACAGTTCACGGTTTTTTCTTTTGTTAACAAAACGTCAAATTGGCAAAATCTATGGGTAATTTTGCCTGTAACTGTTCCGCCAGAAGATGTCGCGCGAACAGCTTATTTACGGAAGTGCATTTGTTCCCAAACAGCTGATTTCCAGTAGGGAATTTTGGTCCTAGGTAAGTCCCTAAATCGAGCCGTAAGACCGAAACAAACCACACAAGAGGCTTGTCAAACATACTTCCAACCTATTTTTCCCATTTCGCCATATACCATGCAAGCATGACTCGTTGAAGCAAAGAATTTTAGTTTTTTTCTGGTTCACAATGTTAAAAATTATGGTTTTCTTCCATTTTTGTCTCTTACGTCCTCATGTTAATTCCGTTGCAAATGGGGCGAACGCATGTGGTTTGAGCAACCGCGAACATGGCGGCCAAAAAATCACAAAATTTTGATTTTTGTTCCAATCTGCTATGACGTCACACTTCTTTCAAAATTTTCAAGAGAGAGCGGTATCACAATCAGCACCACCTTCTGTATTCGTTTCACCAAGTACGCGAACATAAGGATCAGCTGATTTTTATTTGTAAACGCTACACCTTCATTTCGGCGCCGTTCTACGTTCCTTTACGTCACGTCAGTTTTATCCTTGAGCGTCACGTACGCAAAGTACTCATTATGACGGGGCTCTAAGTGATATTGGTGTGAATAAATGTTCAAAAATTTAAGTTCTTTGATGGAACCACTTTTTTTGTGTTATGGATTTACGTTCTTTGGTTTGACTGAATGTTCAAAAACACTTGCGCTGTAACGTTTGACTTGACTTTAATATAAAGAGCATGTCAGACCTGGCAATCTTTCAAACTTTTCTACGCAATTCGCTGTCAAATTGAGAGATAAATTTTATTTCCACGTGTGAACAGCCAGAAAGACCTTTCTGTCACTTTTCGGAAATCAGTGTCAGAAATTAAAGTTGCAAGGTGTGACTCCAACAAAAAGCGCGCAAATCGATTTCGGAAATATATTTCAACTTGCTCGTGTTGCACTAGCAACCTGCAATTCGCCTTTCGGAAATAAAAAAACTCTTTTGAAAGGCACTTTACATGCAAAGTGTGACTGCTCATACAACTGCTTTCTGAAATGTCTAAATTCGACGGCATTTTCGAAATATATTGCATTGCCACGTCTGACACGCTCTTAATAACCATTTTTAATTTATTAGGGCGTACAATCTATAAATCGATTAAAGTCGATATCATAACAACAAAACAAAAATTATACACTTTGTTTTGTTTGATTGTCAAGTTCAGAGTTATTTATAACATCAAAACAAATCACTACTAGGGCACTAAGTACTATGTACTGTATTGAAAAATGCTTCGTCTTACCATTTATTAAGGGCTTGCGGCAGAGGAAACACAAGGTATTATATAAACCAAATATAGGAACAAGAAGACATGTACAAAGTGACCAGTGAAATCTATGAGGAGACCAACTACAACCCAGTCAAAGGCTCCAATGGTAGAGTTTTGTCCAAATTCAAATTCAACTACCCACCAGAGGATGAAATTTCCGCGTCTTCTAGCGGAACCACTGTCGATAAGGACGGAGACTTAGTGGTGCGACGAAAATCGGATTCTAAGCGAGCTGGTGTGATAAAAATAGAGCATTCTGAAGCCACGGAATTGCGTCTGGTGGGACTACAAGTTTGGCGTGGCGCATTGTTATTAGCCGATTATATTTTCCATAAGCGTGCCGAATTTCGTGGCAAAGTTGTGCTGGAGCTGGGTGCAGGCGTTGGATTGACCAGTATTGCTGCAGCTATCTATGCGCAACAGGTTGTGTGCACAGATGTGAATGTTGGCGGAATTTTAGATTTAATACGAGAAAACGTGAAGCACAATGTCGAACTGCTTCATAAATCGAATACTATTGATGTTTTGGAATTGGATTTTCTAAAGCCTGTAAAAGAATTTTCTCCAGCACTATTGGCAGCCATAAATAATTGTGACGTTGTGGTAGCGGCTGATGTAATTTATGACGATGACCTGACTAATGCATTCATACGAGTTTTAGATGCTTTGTTTGAGCATGGCAGATTATCAGGAAAAGATAAAACGGCGTATATAGCATTAGAGAAGCGATATGTTTTTACTCTGTCCGAGATGGATACTGTGGCGCCAATGTTTGAGTATTTCCTGAAGCAATCCATGCATAAGGCTTGGCTTCTCGAGTATATTGATACAGATTTTCCACAATATTTTGATTATGATCGCTGCAGGCATTTAGTGCTGATGAAGGTAACACACGCTAAATAAGTAAAATTAAAAAAATAAGTATTTATTAGCTTAACATGTACGTAGTAGCAATACAAATTGTTGAAACAATAACCCGAATAATAGTTTAATAAACCACAAAAATTTGTGATACAAATTAGTTGTCTTTTTCGACTACCTACAAATATCTTACAAATCCTGCATTGCTAGAATAATGTTTTCGAGGGCTGTGCGTGCATCAGTAGGAGGGAATTTTTCAAGCACTTCCATTGCAGCCGTCGTGTGCTTACGTTGCAAGGCCTTGGTCTTTTCCAAACCTGGCCCAGATAGGATTGCTTTGTGTATCTTAGCATAGTCGATATTTTCAACCGATACTCGACCTTTTTCTATTTCATCATATAATGAAGCATCATATTCGAGATGAAATAGTACCGGCGCACTTACCAAGCTAAATGGAGTATCTGAAAATGATATTAGTCATAAAATGGACTTGTATAATATAAACAAGTATATTACCTATTGGCAGAGTACTACTTTGAAATGGCTCTGCATCCAAGCATGCTTGCCATGCCAACGACAAATGCTTACCGAACAAATAAGCTTGACGCTGCATATCTTCGCTTTGCCCAGCTAATTTTAAGGCACCCTGGCATGCTTTGCCTAGCAAACTACCAGCGTTTAATATATTGCGGCATTCCCACTCTTTTTCGGGTATGCCCATGACTTTTGAGATATTCATAGGTATCATAACATCGTTTACATCGAAATCAATGCTTTCTGTTGTAGCAGTACCATTGGTTTTTAGCGTTTCAGATCCCGGCTTACATGGCAATGGATTATTTTGCTCATCACGTTCTCCAACAAATTGAGACTCTGAAAAATCTCGTACAGCTGATGAAATCAACTCCACTACTTCTTGATTGCGTAGATTAGCTAATTCAGCGCTAGAATGGCCAAGCAAATAGTCCCCAGTCAGTAGACCTATTTTGTTACCAAACGCCATATCCTCATAAGTCGCTGTATCCTTTCCAGCCTCCGACGAAGGTTGTAAATTAACTAAACTCTGTTAATAAGAAAATGCCTTGAATCAAATTATCACAATACCATTTTTTTTAATCTTACATTGTGTACCAAATGCGAAATTCTAATCATCTCCGTAACTTCCGCCAGAGCGCGTTGAGAATGCAGCACACCTGCGCTTTTATCCTGTTCCATGTCCGGCACCGAAGGCGCATGACCAGCGGCCTTGGATATAAGAAGCACAATTAAGCCCCAAGCCTGCATTGTATTTTTTCCATTGTAGAGTAGATGTCTGAAAATATTAGCAAATTAGTGATTCAACCAATCGAATATATAGTATAACTTTTAAATCCAATTACTTTGCCGTCTTGAGTAGAGGATGATTGCTACCCACTAACTTCCGCAGATGCAATGCTACATTAGCAATCTCATCACTAAGTAACCATCGCAAACTAAGGAATGATGTAGGGTAGCCGACAATACGTTCTGCTTCACTAACGGCACGATTCCAGTCGTGTTTCGGTGGTGTTGGTTTCGCAGCTGAGGTCGACGTCAATGTGCGCAAATTCGGTTGTTGTGGAAAAGTGAAAGTAGCTGCAGGTGCTAAAGAGCGCAGGCGCAACTGATATTTTCCTCTAGCAATCCATAGCTTATCTGTTTGCGTAGCTATACGTTTCCACATTGTGCACTATTTATATACGTTTCTGTATAAAACTTTAAGGATTAGGTCAAGAAATTATACTTTTAAATGAATCACTTCTAACAGATGCAACTATTTCCCCAACGTCCGTACGCAAGCTTTATTCGTTGTGAAGTGAAACTCAAGTAAGTTTCCGTTGCTGTCGGCTTGGAAGAAGCACAAGCGACGACAAAGCTGCTGTTGCTTTGTGAGTGAACACACACGGTTTGTTTACTTGGCACACCTTGCTTTCTCTTCTCCTCTTGTTCAATAGGTGAATCGTCCATCGAATTGGAATCACATAGCTATTGTGCATTCTTTACCATCGAAACTGGTTTATTGGAATTTTTTGCTCTTTAGGAAAAAAAAAAACAAACACATAACAAATAAGTCAGCTGATTGACTAGCTGCCAGATTGGTGAATTTGTGATTTTAACGTGATTTCTGAGTAATGTGGGGTATTTTTTACAACAAATTTTCCCAGTACTCGACAAGAAGTCTGATAAGGAGATGTGGTGATTTGCGAAATAGTAGCCATAACCCAGAGAAATTAGGGTACTGTTTACATATTTGAACAACGATTTTGGGGTGCTGTGCCCAAACGCGTAAATCGAATCAAAAAACTTTTACACACACTTGTAGACAAGAGTTCACTCTTTATTACAAAAATAAAAGGGGGAAAATTTTAGAATGGTAACCCCCGATTACGGAATTAAGGAAAATAGGAGGGGTAGAGGGGGTTCTAAAGGGGGTGTATGTAAAGTTTTAAAGCGCGCAACCTTATAGTTTTTAAGTAATTTGTTATTAAAGTTTGTAATTTTCACCAACTTGTATGGGACTATTTCACAATATATAATGCACTTTCCACTAATTTTACACGTTATTTACACTCAATATATGCGCAGCTAGAGTGTGCACGTTCAAACAAATAAATACTTTTAGTATATTACAGCTTTTTTATAAAAAATTGATTGTTGTTTAACTTTATGAGAGTACATGCAGAATATGTGCAAATGGCA